ATGTGTTTAAATAGAAGATAACATATAGGTTTAAACAGTAAAGTTTTAAAATCAATATAACTTTTTTATTGTTTTATACATAAGAATTTTTGAGATATAAGCAAATTATCAAAACCATCTTTGCAAAGTTGAACTCTTTTCTTTACCAAATGCTAACCATTATTGCTGAAACCTCCTTATTGTACAATCCTGCTATTTCAGAGACTACTGAGATGTAACCATATTTATTTTGCTCAGTAATTTTCAAATACACATGGAACCAACCCTCAACCCAAAATATAGTTAGCACTGGATGCCTATTATTTCTTGAATCCTTTCCAAAACAAACTTATTAGGAGTCTCGGCTATGATGATGGTGCATTTTGTGTACCTCTTGGAATAAATAATGTACAGGAATCATTCAAATGCATATTCAGTGGGAAGCCATCTGGCTCTATGTGAATATATGAATATTTTAGTTTGCTCAGCAAGTCAAAAGTAAAATCTGGCACTTGGGATTATCATGTAGATTTGTGACAGTACTTATAAAAAAGTTTGCTTCTATAAATCAATGATTGACACATCTATTAAAGCATAGTTTCTTTCATCATGGAATTGAGTCTACTTAAACCATGTACAATATTGCTTGGTTTGGAAGCCATCATAATTCAACTTGAATTGTAACATGCAATGTTTCATTAAAATCGTTGCAATAAAAATAAATCTTGGCATTGAGTTGGAATTAATAGGTTTTTGCAGTGGACACCATGACATGGCACCCAGGTCTTTCTTCAGGAAAGACTTATTACCTCATCCACTAGGAGTACTGTCAGTAAAGTGCTTTCAGCTGTCAGCCCCATTCACAAATTGCCTCAACCACAGTTTGCTATCTTACCCAAGCTACTCTATCCCAAGGTGCCCACATCGATAAAGATTAATATGTGGTATAAATTGTGGACTCTCAGGTTGGGCTCAGGACAGTGCTGAAGTGCCATTCTAGTGTCAGAACTCCTCCTGGAGACTGTCATTGTGCCTGCATCATAGCTTGATTTCTCCCTCCTGCACGATCCTGCTTCTGTTCCCTTCCTTGCACAATTATTAGTGCCAGGGCAGTCCTTAAGAAATATAATGCACTTCAAACTCCATCTCAGATTCTACTTTCTAGGAAATTTAACCTATAGTCATTATCTAACCCTACCTCTTACCTAAAACAAGAAATTCTTGAGAAAACTCTTGGTAAATCTGTCAGTGTATTTCAGTCACTTTGCACAAACACTTCTGGTATCATGAAACTTTATTTCCCATAAGGCGACCCACTCTATTTTTGGACAAATGTATTCCTAATACTAATAAACATTTTCTTCCTTGTAACATCTGGAACCAGATAAAGCCAACTCCATCATTCTATTGATCATCAATGAATTAAATGACATTTTGATACACACTCACAATTTATGAGAAATAAATATATTTAATATTTTTGAGAAAAATACTCTGGTAATTAGAAATACAGATTTGCGAGTTGATAGTACATTGATGTGTGAGAACATATGACATCCCAAAGGAGTGAATGTGAATAGAGAAAGCTAAGCCCAAAGACCTGTGACCTTCCAACAATAGGAAGGAAGAATGAGGAGGAGGAACAAGTTAAGGAGACTTGAAGAGACTGACAAATGAGTAAGGAAAAAACCAGTAGTGTGGGCTTTACTGAAGCTAAGCAGAAAACGTATTTCAAAGGAGTGACCAACTGAGACAAATTCTACTAAAAGATGAGAATAAGAACCAGTACTGGATTTGTCAAAATGGAGAGCACTGGGAATTCTCAGAACAAGTTCAGTGGTGGGGGATTGGGAGCTAAAAGCCTGATTGAAGCAGGTTACAGGGCAGATGCAAGAAAAGGCATTGGAGAATGGAAATGCAGACATTATATGCTGTCCAGGAATTCACAGATGTCTGGATGACATTCTGAACATGAATGGGGCTTAGAACAGAGGTTGCACTAATGTTGTCTATATCTAAAAGGCAAGCAAAATTCCAGCTGATATCTGCTTATATACACTAAATATAAAAAAAGTTAAAAAAAAAACAAACAAAAAACGTGTGAAGGGACTGCAGACTATCACTAAGCGAAAGTTCATAGATAACGAAGTGTAGCATGTTAGAAAGGAGTATGAATCACCATCCTAAAAGGCAGTGTTAGGGGAGCACTACAGCATATAGAGACCAAGTCAGTGAAACAAGGTTGAGATGGCCACAATATTCCTTTTTCCCTCAAAGCTCAGTACAACTCAATGCCAATCTATGAAAATATATTTCCTTTGCAGTCTCTCTGTAAATTCACTTTCATGCATTTATAATATGCATGATAATTTGTTATGACTGCACATAAAAGGGTGTTATATAACAGTAAATGGTATATTGAACAGGGTTGAGAGAAGTGGAAGGGTTTTGGTTACGTTGAAGGAAAAATATAATGGAAAAGTATGTGAGGCTTCATGAATGACTTCTAGGTTTTTGCCGTGAACAATTTGGTGGATGATTTGGATATTTATGTAGATGAAAAGATCATCAGGATTGATAAAGATAAGAGCTTTCTAAATAGAGATGCCTATTGAATTTTTTCAGTTAGGGAGAGGTATGAAGCAGGCAGGTATATATATATGCAATGCTAGAATTCAGTGTTGAATATATTATGATGGCTAATATATGATAAAGAAAACCTCAAAAGCATTGCAAATGAAAATAAAAGAGACTGTATCCTGATGATATAACATGGCTAAAATAAGTTTTGCTTTTCTTGTACTTTTTTATCTTTTGGGAAATTAACAGCATGTTTGTAGTCTATGGAGATAGATTGCAGATACTAGAAACATGGATAATTTTGTAAATTGCTCCTTCTCTGGAAAACTTACAGCAAATATTTCTTTTGCATTTAAACAGCTGCAGTTGTAACAAGTAAAAAAGACTTTCTCTAAAATGTTATACTTTCTACCTCCCTTCTCATAGGCTAGCTTCCACCCACAGCCTTTGATTTGACTGGATAATGGTTAATTAGAAAGTATCAAGTTTAAGCAATTATGAGTGATGCTGTTTCTTATTAAATTTCATTAAAAGTTGATTCCAGTGATATTATTAGTAGTGAATTTTAGAAGTTAATTTATGACCTTGTCAATGTGCCTATACATTTAAAATCTGCACTTGGGTCACTTGTTATGACCATAATTATTTCTTCATATAGTCAAAGTTTTCTAGTTCTAGATTTCATTAAAAATGTTCAAAACTTCTCAGAACAGCATATTGGTGAATATAATTTACATTCTCAAACCCCAAGGCTAAAAGTAATAGGAAAGAAACCAATCATGTAAAACTTCATTTAGTAGTGCAACATTTCACAACCTGCAAATGAAAGGAATACTTACTTGATTTCCAGAGTTGTGTGTGTGGTTTTTTTTAATGCCTCAAGATGTAAATGCTTTAATTCTTTTCTGGGCAATGTGATACTCTCTTATAATGAAAACTAACTTGAACCATCTGAATGTTCTGCAGGGAGAAAAGAATAGTTACTAGTGAAGGAAAAAATTTAAAAAATCATTTATATTACTTAGACACAGTGCGGTTGTAGCACATATTTTAAGTCTTTAAGGACTGGAGATTGAACAAGATGATCCGAGTAACACACTATAGAACACTGCCCAAAGAATATAGACATTAGAGTTTAGATTGTTTCAGTGATGCATTGAAGCACAATTGAGGGAATATAATTCTGGCACAGAGAGCTGGGAAATGACAGCAGATGGATTGCACCAGTCTGCAGCAATCAGAGATAAATTGCTGTTTGAATGGTTGAATTTTATGCTTTGGAAGGCTACTAGATTCCTTCAGCCAGAGGCTGCGAAAGATAGACTATTTGTCCAACCAGCCCTGAAGGAAACATTAAGTCTGTTAGTTTCAATCATTTACTTGCATGTGCAATAATGCCCTCGGGACGAATATCTTTTAGATATGAACGTCAATAATCAAAAACTGCCTTATAGGTGGATGATAATGGTGACTAATTCACAGGCATCCTCCTCCTTCACCTTTTGCAAATATCAATGCAGTAGAAAATCAGCAGCTTCTCATTCCTTTATTCCAATTTTTAACCTGACTCCAAATTGTGTTCTACTATAAACAAACTGACAAGATGTGGCAAATTTATTGGGATTCATGTAGTTAGCTCTGTCAAGGACAGGAACTGATCCTTCCCAGCAGATACTAGTATAATTTGCTCATATATTAAAAACTAATCAGAAATTTATGTGAATATAAATGAACAGAAACATGAACACCAGTATGTTATATACAACTTAGCACATTGATACTAGAGGGAAGGAGAATGTGCAATGACCTCTGACAAAAATCAATACAAGGAATATTAATAACAGCATTCTACTAAGTATAAACAATAAAAGTTGTTCTCAACCTCTATGGAAATTGGCTTTGTCTAAACAAAATTGTAGAGGTACAAAATATTAAGTTAAGCAAGTAATGGTTATTTCAATTATTTCTCTTGCACTGACTGAATTTTAAAATGTACAAGTAAATTTAAAAAGATACTTCCTTTAATAATTTAGTTCTTAGCATAATGAAGACTGTGTTTCATTTAGCTAAACAAAAATAAAAAGAACATCTAAAAATCTTTCAGACAATTTTGAGCAAATTAGGTTTTTTTTGGCTTTTTCTTTTCATTTTAATTCTGCGAGACTACATATATCAAGGTATCCTAGGTACCTAAATTCTGGGCTTTCAAGTTGCTCAGGGTCAGAGGACATCATGGTGTATGGCATCCTGGATGTTGTATAATACACCAGTTATCAGCTGTGATAGCCTTACAAACATGCATTTTGCAGCAGGGAAAGTTTTGATTTGGGTAATCCTTATGTAACATAGGAAGTAATGTTTAGCCTCAGGAGATAAATAACAGATCACAGGTTCTGGAAACACTGGATTCATATTAAAATTTGAGGATTTTCAGCATCTCATTTGGATTTTTAAAGTTTTAATTTAGTATATACATTCATACATTCTTTTTTATTGTTTACACTATTACAGATGTTCCCATTTGCCCCTTTGGCCACCTCTTCCCTCCCACGCTACTCTTTCCCTCTTCCCTCTGGCCCTCACCACACTGTTGTCTGTGTCTATGGGTTATTTGCTTAGTTTGGTGAGTGTATGCTTAAGGTAGAAGATTGATACCAAATAATGGATCTCTCTCATTCCCCTCTTGGTCACTGTTAATTATTAAATCATCAATAAGCTTATGTTAATATATTTAGTTACACATAATAGCCATCTTTTACAAACCTCAAGTATATGATTTAAGGGCTGTAATTTTATTAAATAATACACCTAAGGAAATGTCCAATTTCTCACTTATGCGTGGTTGGAATTATCACCTGAGTTAGGTGCACTGTTGGTGATAAATAAATGATACTACACACTACTCATCTCAAGGCAAGGGGCACTGACATATTCTTGGAAAAGGTAACATTTCAAAGCAACTATAATGCATACATTGTACAGAATTATGTTTAAAATGGTGACCACCGATTTGTCAGAAACCTCCCACTTACTGACTAAAAGACAGTCTTCTAATTAATAATTACATTGAGGCAAAAATGAAACTGAATTTTGTCCAATAGCATTAAAAACTTGCAGAACAGATATCTGGAGTCCACAGCTTGAAGGAAAATCCCCAGTAATGTGGTGGGGGCATTTAAGAAATGCAACTTTGCCGATAAGTGTGACAGCGCAGAAGATGGTACTGGGTGGTTATCAATTAACACTGGATATCAATTAACTTTCAAGTTGAAAAATCTTCAGAAAAGTTTGACTCTGAATGTGAAGTTTCAGAAAAGTCACTATTGCATTTTGTTCCTTTATAAGTATATGCAAGCGGGTGAAATGATAAAAATCTGTACACTTAAAAGATCTCCAACAAATAAATATAAAAACTTCAAGTAACAAAGAAATTATTGAGTCATATTTTACTGGTAGTGTTTTCTCTTTTAGTGGAACATAAAATGGTGATTCTTAATAACTGATGACACTATACATTTACAGTGAAATACAAAGATTATATAGATTTAGATTATACTGTGAAATACAGTACTGAACAATTAATACATGATAAATACATAATATCCTCTGCAAACTGCGCAAGTCAATCAGTAAATGCTAAACAAGAGCTACCATATAAATTAATTTTGTCCTTGGAAAGAACCTTGAAAAAAGGGAAAAAAGGCAAATACTGTAATAAGCTTGCAGACAAGTCACTTCTGGTTTATTAAATAATTATTTTCATTTTGACATTTGAAATATAAAGTGGCACCGACCAGTTCTTATTACAATTTACTCATGTTAAAACACAAGCCTCTCACAAATCTTTTTCTCTAATACATACCAGACTTTGATACGGAGACATTTAACATACGTGCTTTTACCAAAATAGGAATACAAGACTTGGGATGCCAGCCAATTTTTATTTTCTTGAAGCTGTCATCTGTATATTTTCTGTCTTTCTAGTCTTCTTGCTCCTTTCTGCTGTCTACCTTTTGGCTATTTATTGCCTCTCAACATCATCACTAGTGCATGACAGAAAATAAGAAACGGGAAGTAAAATCAGTCCATCTGGTAATTTAACAGTTTTGTTACAGGGATTAACTAGAGGATGAAAGTAATGTCCAAAATAAACATGTTATTATCAGTAAATCCCAGTTATTCCTACCATCTTTTCCACACAGATAATTGAGTTTTGTGTGTGTACGCTTTCCTATGCATGGAAATTTAGGGAATTTTTAAGATATAAATACACATGTTCAAGTTTATAAGGATAAAATAATACATACACCCTTTTTCATTTTTGTAAGACCAATACATGAGACAGACTTTTACCACCAATTTCAGAGCTGTTCATTAATGATCAAGATAATTACAATATTTTAAGCATTAATCTAAGCTCAATGTCAGCTATAAATTTGTTCCTGAAAATGTATTTCTACAGCATTCCTCCAGTGCTGAGGACTCTACAGTATGCCATTTTTATTAGTTCAAAATAGAATTACTATATTTGAGGAGAAAACTGACAAACATTTAGAACTTTATTGGAACTGAAGCCCAAAAGAAAATAAAAACAAAATTCTAAAGGTATGTTTAGAAAAGGATCTTTAAAATTACTAAAGTATTATGTGTACAAAACAATGATCCATAAACCCATCTTAATTCAAAGAATCAACATTCCCAAATCCCTTTCCTGAACTTAGATCCTTGAAATATTCTTTTTTCAAACATGGTTTACCTGTATTTTTGTTATTGATGTTATATTGCAGCAATTACATTATATAACCTTCATTAAATACTTCAATGAAACAAAGACAAACATCTACAGAAAACCCTTATATTTACAATCTTGCTTAATCAGGAAAGGCAAAGTATATAATATTTAAGATGTCTCTAAATCAGACTGTTTTCTATTTAAAGTAATTTCTAGGAAAATTTGCTCCCTATAGGTTATCATGTCTTCTACATCTTTGTAGATAAGCATTTCTTCAATGGACAACAGCTTATAGTTTTTCAGGCTGAAAGTTGACTTGTTTTGTACAGCATTTAACATCTTTATGGCTATTGTAACTGAATCACTCAAAGAAGAGCAAACTGGGAAGATACGAGCACTCCACAAACTCAAACATGTCTTGTTTCCAGAGAAGAGTTCCTCTGTAACTTTCAGATTCCAAATATCTAAGCAGGACAGGAAACAGACTCCAAAGAATTGAAGTGACTTTATATCTGACAATTTTTTAGCATTCTTTTTCAAGTTGTCTTGCACTCCAAATGCCATAGTTGAATACTTTAAGTGCCCATTCATCTTCAAGCTTAAGGAACACACAAAGGAATATGCAGGCAGGATAGCTCTTGTCATGATGTAAGAACCACTAATAATGCAGTTTTCCCCAACGGAAACATCAGGCCCCAATCTGGAATACTCCACAACTGAGCCAGGTGACACAGAACATCTTGAATCCAACACACTTTGAATGATACAGGACATGTTACCAGAGCATTCTAGTATTGCTGGAGAGATGCTAAAAGCTATGGACTGTAAACCAAGCTCTGACTTCAAACTGCTATGTGAAGTAAAGTGAAACAAATATTCTTCAGTTGTTCCAATGTGATAAAATCTGGAGTTATTAAGAACCACAACATTTAGTGACGTTCCTTTAAGAAGATGAAATATTCTCTGCCTCATGTCTACCAACTCTGATTCTTCTTTAGTGACATTTGATGTGTTTGTAGTATACTCCGCAGTTGCTCCAGATCCCAAAGCCTGCAGAAAATCTCCGTAGGCATCTATTTCACAGTTCAGTGTGCCTATTTTTTCATAAAAAGCAAGTAACTTTTTTGCTGATTTGTGATCCATGTAAAATAGGCTGTCTGTATATACATACTCAGATTCTAATTTAAGAGAGGGAGTGTCACCTCCAGAAAAGTCCCGCTGTAAAAAACTTCCAGGTCTATACACAGCATCAAACTGATGCATCTTTTCTATGCTGGGCTTATGAAGGAAACGATGGCAACACCTGTATTCAAGGTCTTTGTATTCTAAACAATTAGAAGGTTCTAAGACAAATACTCCATGTGTGGTACCTACAGTCAAACTAGAAGGATGAGCTAAAGCAGTAAAGCCAGGCTTGTCAAATCTGATAAACTCAGATTCTCCAATACTGTACAGTTCAATATCATCTGCACAGGTAACCAGAATCCCAGGATTCATATGTGAGGGGAAATCAATGTACATGGCTAGTTTTAATTCTAACATCTGATAAATAGGTTTACCAAAAGGTAAAGCAGTGAAAATTTTCCCCAGAGCACTTGCATTTGGAAGGCGTTGACTGTAGCCACCTATAAAATTAAACAACATAACTGCTTAAAAATGTTTATATGACTGTTTACAAGACTTTAAAAGCTCAGGAGCATCAGCAGCAACTCAAAATGTCTCTAAAAATATTTAATATATACGACACATTACTATAACTCAGGAAAGAATAAAAAATTTCAGAATACAAATTCAAAGAGAAATTATCCTGTAGCCCTTGGACATACTATAGTTTTAAAAATTCTAGATTAGAAAAGAATTTTCATATACTTTAGAGCATGTGAATTGTTTATAATCCACTGTAATTAATTAAATGGATTATCTCATATCTACATTTTAAATAATAAATTTCAACCACATTTAAATTCCTGCAATAAGAATCCACTCCACAGGGTAAAAACAGGTACCAATTCCAACATTATCTATTAAACAATAATTTCCAAAAGCAATGTCTTTTCTCTATTACTTACACGTAAAGCAAAAGTGCATTTATGTAAAAGTGTTTTAAAATTTATACTTGTCTTTAAATAGGCTTTTCCTCTAAAATGAGCCTTACATTTCTTAATTTCTTGAAAAATATGTTTTCTTAAGTAAATTAAATAGGTTACATCATTTTTATGTTAAGTAATTATAATGAGAGGCTGTCTTACACACTAGAGTCAGGCAATACTGAGTTCAAACTCAGGTTCACTACTTTTTAGTTGTTCATCTTTGGATTCACTCCAAATTAGCAAATGTAGAATACTACTCTACTACTTGCCTTGTCACATTTTATGAGATCAATTATACATGCAAAGCACTTGGCACATAGTTTGTTCAACAACTAAGACCTAATACTTTCCACTTTGTCCTTTCCCAAACACTAGCCAATAGTAAAGTCTAGCATTGTAAGAATTAACAATATATTTTCTGGTATCTAATTTAACTTTTAGTAAACTGGTAATTATAATACTTGTTCTGGAATAAAACTATAAATTTGATTTTTTTTAAAGTTTTTTAGTCAGCCTTAAAACCTGAACTTGGATGCTTTACTTGATACCATCTTTACAAAAAACTCACTGTTCTGTGTATGAGTCGTAAGAAATGAAAAGCACACTGAAAATCATGGTGGCAGTCCTTGACCAAGTGTTCGTCAGCCCACTTCACAGAGAAGATAACAGAGGTGGTCATGTTCCCCAAATTTTTATAACAACTCAACTTAACCAATCAAAAGAAAACTATCCTTTGTTCTGCAATTATTCCTTTCCTACTTTTTGTGGGAAATGTCTCTTTTACGTGTAATTTTCCCCTCATGTATTTTCTTGTCAACTCCAAGTTTTGTCACCACCTTTTTTTTTCCTTTTAACTCCTTTAAGGATTGTAGACTTTGTCCACCAATAATCAAGTAAAAATGCATGAAAAAAGGGTTTGGCAATAGTGTGGTGATCACAGTGCTAAACCAGCCTCTGCCCTACAGCAAGAATCCCTTCTAAAGAATTAGTGAAAAATGTCCACATTTTGATAAGTTCAGCCTTTGGAAAATAATTGTGTATATACATACTGAAAACAATACACATAGTTATTATATGTGATCTACATACAACAAATATCATGGAAATTGTGAAAAGCATTATGCTACTTACAAACTAAAAATATCAAGAACAACATGAAATATGTTTTTAAAGCAGAATAACCTCAAAGACAAAAAAATAAGAAAAAGTAGTTGCAAGAGAGAAAAAGTTCCTAAAATATCAAAAGTAAAATATTTAAAAGAAACTGTAAATTAGTAAAGTATAACTTTACCAGAGTGAATTAATAGGATGGTAAAATAATTCCATTTATCTCCGTATAGCTTTTCCAAACATCGAAGAACACAAAATGTTGATCCTCCATTTCCTTAAAAATAAAGTTAAAATGCACATATTATTTCATAGAAACCTACTAAAATTTTGTGATTTTGATAAATTTGAGGATTCAGTTTGTTGGCTATTATTTAACTCAGCAAAGCACAAAAATACAGGCAAAAGAATCAAGTTATATACACATTTCATAGCAATTAAATAAATAAACAATTGGTAATGAAAACCAGATATTGACCCTCGTAAAAAGAGCTAATCTTCTCCCAAAGTTATTAATACAAAATGAAGAAATGATAAAGTGGGCAATCTGCAACATTAGAAAACTTTAAGTATATAACTGACTTGAAATTACAAATTGGAAAAGCTATTTAAATAATTCTCTCATATGACAGTCAAGAATGAAAGTTAAATAAACTTTTTAGAAAGTTTTTTAGAATCTGGTATCCTAAAAGTATCTTAAATTTATCACTTACCAGTTGTCTTGGGCAAGTTATTTTTCTGTGCCTCAGAGTCTAACCTATACAACGGGAATCATAGAGTGTTGAATGCTAGCTCTGAGGGGTGAGAAACAGTGGCTAATTAGAACAATGCCAGGGTCAGATATAGATACCCTATGTCTGATATCAAGGGGCTTCAGCTTTAGCAGTACATGGAAAATGGCCCCTACAAAAATAGCATGCACTTTTTGCAATGGAAGGTCAAAATGCAAAATGCAAACTTTACTTAAATTGGATTTTTAAAGTAAATATGATATTTAAGCCGTTAGACTAGGCTCTTTTGCATTCTGCATTGTGGTCCCAAGTCAAATAGTACATATTACTACTTTTTTCTTGATTTGATCTCCTCATCCTGAAGAATATGAAGAGCTTGATAGATAAGGTTCAAAGGATTATTCACCATCTGAGTAAATTTTATTACAACTGATACTATTCTTTTTTTATGTTAATAACATAACATTCTGGAAATTGTTCCACAGTCACAACAGGTAAGTTGCAATTCCTTTTATCATTTTCAAAAAACTAGTGAATTTATGAAAAAAATTTAGTTTGTAAAGACTATGGTGGAAAGACATGCAGCTTATAAACTGCATGCCACAAGACAACTTTTCTTTAATGATTATTCTTCCCAGAACCTATGATATATATCCAAACATAAATGTGTACCAATTTTGGCTCCAGCAGGATCAACAAAAACATGATATTGAACTCCAAGGGGTAACTCCTTTTTTTTCAGCTTCTCTGACAGCTGTTGCTTATAAGCAAACTCCTGTTTTTCATCAGCTGCAGTTATTGCAACAATGTCCCAGAATTCTCCAGCTGCCACAGGTTTGCCTTTGTGAAAAAGAAAAAATAGATAAAGAAAAAACAAGGAAATGATAAATATTACCAGAATTTTGTTACAGGTTTACTTATTTGGAAAGAGGTGGAAAAAAAGAATATTATCATCTTCATAAATGTATCTTCTGCTTTTGAGAGTTAGGGAATAATTAGGAGCCAGTTAGTGTGATTCAAAATACTTCTGATGAGGACTGTTCACAAATTCTATGTTTTTTTCTCTTTTGGATTGCTTTGTTCTTTTATGGTCTACAGACCCATTTATTTAAATATTCTGAAACTTGTCATGTTTTCCTATTGAGTGAAGTACTTTTGATTTACTAAAGACTATCTCAATTCTTTTTTTTTTTAAAGATTTTATTTATTTATTTTTAGAGAGGGAAGAGAGGAAGATAGAGAGAGGGGGAGAAACATCAATGTGCGGTTGCTCGGGGTTATGGCCTGCAACCCAGCCATGTACCCTGGCTGGGAATAGAACCTGGGACACTTTGGTTCCCAGCCCGTGCTCAATCCACTGAGCTACACCAGCCAGGGCTTCAATTCTTAAGGAATAAATGAATCTCCCGCTTTTAAAATAATTTTCATATGTTAAAACTATTTAGTGTTCCTTGGCTAAGAACGATTCAACCCAAGAATCCATTGCTACAGTGTTGCTGTTTATAAATGTGGGTACTTAATTTTTTTATTACTTTAAAGTAGCCATGCAATTTTACAAAGGCTATTGGAATGTGACACAAAATTTGGGATAAAAGTTCCAACTCCAGATGAACTCATTAAAAGGCAGACTGAACCTTTGGGAGACAGGTGGAAGCTCTTTTTAATTAATAAACAAGATGAAAATTGTTTATAGTAATTACCTAATAGGACCTGTCATCCAGAATGTAATAGTTCTGAACATTTAACTGTCTTCTTAGTATTATTTACTGTATTCTTAAAGCTGTAGCTTCATAAAAAATATAACCAGTTTTTTAATTACACAGTTGTACAAGGAATGACAAATGGCATAACCTTTTTAAAACAAATTTTTGATACAACCCCCCTTTTAATTTTTAATCCATAGTTGTTGCATGTTTTGTTTTTTACTCAGGAAGCACGGAACAATTTGTAAGGTAGGTGGGAGAGGGGTGGGAGGAAGCTAAAACCACATTTATAAGGGTCACAACACTATGCTTTAGAGAGGTTTTTCAGGTTTATTTAAAATAACTTTTGTTAATGAGCTAAACCAAATGCATCTTTTCTTTCCTCTTCCCTTATTTTATGTTTATATTTTACTAAGAATAAACTTAAAGAAAGTAACAGAGTAAATAAAGGACAGTGGCAGAAAAAAATAAAAAAATTAAAGGTGCATTAGCTATGCCTGGGCCAGCGTCCTGGCCCACACCTGAGAGAAAACCAAGCGGAAGTGATAGTCCTGCAAACTTGCCGGCACGTAGAGGAGGACCCTCCCTTTCTAATGCCGGGGAGAAATGCAGTACCTCTCAGCTCTGAAAACCTCTGCAACTTTCGCTGAGTGGCTTCTCGCAGAGATGCGGTCGGACGGACACTCACAGAAGCCATATCCCCACCTTTTTCGCGTCGGGCTCTACACTTCCACGTACCTAGCCGCTCCGCACACCACGCATGCGCCCTGGAACGCAGTCCGTCCCCGGTCCGGTGGGCCTCCGTCCCTCCCCTCACGTACGTCACTCACATAACCACACCCCCAAAGGGCTGGCCAACCCCGGGGAAACCGTCCAGGGTGATCACGGAGTCTTACTCCCGTTTCCTTAGCAACGGCCTCCGAGTAGCTGGCTACCTAGCTATTTGTCAGATTGTGCAGGGTCTGGCCACTTGTTCCCAACCCACAAGGCCTTGCAGCTCTGTTAACCTGGTGAGTGGGACAGGTTGGGCGACAAAATTGCTACAACTGAATCGCTAAGAAGACAACGAAACTACAACCTAGCTTCCAGCTTTGTGGCGATTTGTCTTTTCTGACTCGTGTTTGTTTTAGCCAGGATACTTTCCCAAGAACAGCTTAACAGTTAATTCTTCCTGTGGTCATCATCTGAAGCCTTCTACTCCAATCCCAGGTCCAGATGCACAGTCTGAACATTTAAAACCTGTATTCTCTTCAGGGACCTTAGACTTGTGGCTTCCTTGCTTTTGCAAGTTCCTGGAGAGTGAGTCTTTGCACCCCTCTCAGTTTTGAGTTGATAGGCTTTTGGAAGTTGTATGTCATTGATTCTGCAACCAGGACCTTAGCATTTGTGCTATTTTGGTTAATTCTCTGGCATCCTTTTGTATATGTAGATTAATCAAAAAACTTTCAGTAACATACCTGTCAACCCATTAGTCAGCCTAATTATTAGATGTGTTTTTGCTGGCTTAGGTTTATAAGCATTTAGTAAGTAGTGGAAAGAAGATTTTAGAAAGGTATTGATTCCCAAATACAGAAATCATTCTACTACACCGTGCGGTTTGATTTATTTTAGAAACCCGTCTTTATTAAAGTCTTTATCAATAACATAGGCATTCAAGTCCCTACAAGCCTTGCCATGGACTTTTATTTTTCTTCTAAAGACCCTGTTATTTAATTCTGTACTTACAGAGAAAGTGCTTGGGTAAAAGAGAGATTACTCTTTCGTAGTTTTGTCACTTAAAAGGTTTTTTAAATTGTTGTTAATAAAAAATACATTCTTATTACAAACATTTAGAAAATACAGAACACTTGAGTGAGGTGAAAGAGCAATAGGGAAAGAGAAGGTCAGAGAGGTGACAGAGTCCCAAAGAAAAGATTTTCATTTTTACTGAGTGAAACAGGCATGACAATGTTTTGATGTGACTTGCCTTATATTAAACAGCTCATTCAATCAGGTGAATGTTCTGATGGATGGTGGGGTAAGGATAGAAGGAGGCAGACTTGTGTTTTTGTTTATTGGCTACTGCAGTAATACAGGTAAGACTTGGTAAAGTCTTGGCCAGGATGGTAACAGTAAGGATGATGATAAGTTTGTTAGATATATTTTGGAAATATTTTGAGGGCACATCAATATAATTTGCTCATGAAATAGCTGTGGAATATTACAGAAAGAGGAGTCAAGGATGCCTGAGTGATAGAATGACCATCAGTTGAAATGGGAATGTGGATGTATGGAGAATGTTGGTGGGGTGGTAGGGAACATCCATTTTAAGTTTTGGACATACAGAAGAAACAGATGTAATTGTACGCAGTACATGTGTAACGGAGTTGTGTATGTGCACATTATACATATTGGAGTTCACGAGAGATGTCCAGGCTAGAGACATAATTTTGGGAGTTGTTGACATGCAGATGGAGTTCATTTGAAACTGTGGAATTAGATGAGATCTCAAGAGAAGAGAGATCAATAGAGCCTATATTCTCAGGAACTATACATACTAGAGCTAAATTAAAGAATAAAAAATTAATGAAACAAGAAAATTTCAGATAGTGATAAGAACTGTGAGGGAACTAGAAAGGGTGATGTAATAGAGGCCATCATATAGAGTATTAAACACAGTGTTTCTTGGACGTGGGAAGGATAGCCATAAAATGATTTTAATTTTTGCCTAATATAAATACACTACTCACATAAAATATGCTGGAAGTAAATATACGGGCTTAAAAGGTATGACATTGGGTTTTCCTCTTTTCTGTTTTGCTCTAATTTTTAAACATTTTAATTTTTAAGTAAAAATGAAAAAATGTTGTGTACTATATGAGTGAGAGTAAATTTCCTCAGAATTTGATTGTAGGTGGGGTAAAAAGTATAGGTATTTCATTTCAGTTAATCAGGGGGGACCCCCCAAAACCTCATAATTGTCTTCTGGAGGGTGGGCCTCTTGTAGTACAGGCTTCTTCTGCCAGGTGAGTGTTCTAGGAACACACCTGTATCCGAGTAACAGCTGGTGGTGTTGTGAGAGGCTGTGTTGGTCGTCAGTGAAATTTTTTTGAAGACTTTCAGTGCATTTGCCCATTTCATGATGAGTGATTTATGAGCACACTGGCCCACACGACACTGAGTGTTCAGCAGTTCTTGACCAAAATTGGCATTACCTCCATGCCCCACTGTACCTATTCACCTGATCTCACCCTGAGTGACTTTTTTTTGTTTGTTTCCCTGGATGAAAATGTCCTCAAAGGGAAACATTTTGTTGATGTGGAAGAGATGAAACAAAAAACTGCAGAAGCACTAAAAGGCATCAAAATCAAGGAGTTCAAAAACTGTTTTGAGCAGTGGAAAACATTTTTTAAATATATTTTATTGATTTTGCTATTACATTTTCCCCCTGTACCCTGCACACCTTCTCCCACCCATATTCCCCCCCTTTCGTCATGTCCATGTGTCATAAGTTCTTTGGCTTCTACATTTCCCATTATTCTTGCACCCACATTTTCTCCCTACCATCTATGCTACTTATTCTCTGTACCTTTCCCCCTCTCTCCTCCTCCCACTCCCCTGTTGCTAACCTTCCATGTGATCTCCATTTCTGTGGTTCTGTTCCTGTTCTAGTTGTTTGCTTAGTTTCTTTTGGTTTTGCTTTAGGTGTGGTTGTTAATAATTGTGAGTTTGCTGTCCTTTTACTATACATGTTTTTTTTAATCTTCTTTTCTTAGATAAGTCCCTTTAACATTTCATAAAATAAGGGCTTGGTGATGATGAACTCCTTTAACTTGACCTTATCTGAGAAGCACTTTATCTGCCCTTCCATTCTAAATGAAAGCTTTCCTGGATAGAGCAATCTTGGATGTAGGTCCTTGCCTTTCATGACTTGGAATACTTCTTTCCAGCCCCTTCTTGCCTGCAAGGTCTCTTTTGAGAAATCAGCTGACAGTCTAATGGGAACTCCTTTGTAGGTAACTGTGTCCTTATCTCTTGCTGCTTCTAGGATTCTCTCCTTCATTTTTACCTTGGCTAATGTAATTATGATGTGCCTTGGTGTGTTCCTCCTTGGGTCCAACTTCTTTGGGACTCTCTGAGCTTCCTGGACTTCCTGGAAGTCTATTTCCTTTGCCAGAATAGGGAAGTTCTCCTTTATTATTTGTTCAAATACATGTTCAGTCTGTTGCTCTTCCTCTTCTCCTTCTAGTACTCCTACAATTCAGATGTTGGAACATTCTTGATAGGTGTATTGCATCAAATGGAGAGTACTTTGAAAGTGACTGAAGTTTAAAAATGTAAGAATAAATACACAATTTTTAATAAATTCAGGGGTTCTTTTTGGTTCCTGTTGTATATTTAATATCATCAAACTGTGATATAATTGTTTAAACAATTATAAGGCATAGTAACTAAATAAATATGCTAGTATAGCTAAGTAGTAAACCCATTATTCTGTACAAGTAAAACATAATGGAAATGATGTGTTTAATTTTAGACTCCACATTTTTAAAGGGACATCAGGGATAATGAACTATGATAAGCTGAAAGATGATACTCCATAGAAGCATTTTGGCTTTATTTTTATTGGAGGATAAGAGTATCTGAAGTGCCATAAAGAAGAATGAGGTAATTTTTAAAACCTTGTTTAGATATACTTTGTATACCATGAACTTCACCAATGTTAAGTGAACTACTCAGCGATTTTTAGTGAATTAACTGAGTTGTGCATAATCACCACAATCTAGGTTAAGAACATTTTCATCACCCAATAAGATCCTTTGTGCCCATTCACAGTCAGGTTGTTTTTTATTATTCTAGGAATAATGATGACTGCTTTGTGGGAATCGTAGAGAAGCACAATAACATTTTTCTCTTCGCATTAAAAATTATTTTTCCTTTACTTTTAAATATTCTGTATTTATTTTTTAGTTTTTATTGAATTTATTGGGGTGACTCTGGTTAACAAAATTATACAGGTTTCAGGTGCACAATTCTACAACTCGTCATCTGCACTCTGTATTGTGCATTCAGCATCACAAGTCAAGTTTGTATCCATCACTATTTATCTGCTTAAAATTTTATTTCTCCTTGTTTATTAGAATAAGCTGAAGCTAAATGAAAAGGGTCCTGGATTTTGGACCATGGAGCACATGGAGCATAGCTTGGTTAGTTCGTGAGAGAACTGATATTTTTAAAAATAATTTTTATTTTATTTCTTTTTGTTTTGTGTTTTATTTTTTCACATTTTTTATTGTTGTTCAAGTATAGTTGTCTTCATTTTCCCCTCACCACTCCCCCTCACTCTAGTCATCCCCACTTCCCACCCTTGATCCTAACCTTCTTCGGTTTTGTCCATGTGTCCTTGTTTCTGAAAACCCTTATTACTCATGCTTCACCTCTGTATAACCACTGTTCCTCCCCTTTCTTTCATTGACATAACATAATTACCCAAAGTCCATAGTTTACCTGATGGTTCATTGTTGGGCTTGTGTATCCAGTGGGTTTGGATAAAGTATAAGGACATGAATATATCATTGTAAGTTCTACAGAATAGTTTCACTGCCCTGCAAATCCTCTCTGCTCTGCCTTTTTATCTTCCCCCACCCAAAACCCTGCAACTACTGAACTTTTTATTGTCTCCATAGGTTTTCTGGAATTTATATAGTTGGTATCCTATAGTATGTAGCTTTTTCATATTGAATTCTTTCATTTAGTAATATGCATGTAAGTTTACACTATGTCTTTTATTAGCAATGATAGCTAATTTCTTTTTTTTAGTATTGAGTGCCATTCCATTGTCTGGATGTAGCAGTTTATTCATTCATTCACCTGCTTAAGGTCATCTTGGTTGCTCCCAGGTTTTGTTGACTATGAATAAAACTTTTATATATGTTATGTGCAGTGTTGTGTGTGGAAATGAGTATCCAACTGCTTTGGGTAAATACTAAGACTTGTAATTATTGGATCTTATAGTAAGACTATGTTAACTTAATAAGAAACAGCCAAATTGTCTTCCAAAGTGGCTGTACCATTTCACATTCTTACCAGCAATGAATAAGGACTCCTGTCACTCCGTATTATTTTCAGCATTTGGTGATGTCAGTGATTGGGATTTTGGCCATTCTAATATGTGTTCAATGGTATCTCATTATTGCTTTAATTTGCATTTCTCAGATGATAAATGGTGAGGAGTAACTTTCATATGCTTATTTGCCATTTGTGTATGTTCTTTGGTTAAGTATCTGTTAAGCTATTTGGCCTATTTTAAAATCTTCTTCATTTTCTTATTTAGTTTTAAGAGTTATTTGCATATCTTGGATCAAAGTTGTTGTTTTTTTAAATCAGATTTGTCTTTTGAAAATATTTTCAAGACTTCTGGCAAGATGGAGGCATGGGTGGATGCACCGTACCTCCACGCACAACCAAGATTAGAACAACAACAATTTAGAGGCAGAATAACACCCAGAACTGATAGGGAATTTATCTGAATGGAAGTCGGACAGCCAAGAAGTTGAAGTAGACCCGTACATCCAGACCAGTAGGAGGGGCGGAGAGGAGCAGCTGGGCACACGGGTCGCGGTGCATGGAGGACGGGGAGAACTGGGCGCATAAGGCAACCGGGAGTGTGAAAGGCATCTGGTCTGCACAAGATCGCAGCGGGTGGACCCTGAGTATGCAAGTGGCAGATGGCGGACCCAGTGAGGTGGAGATTGTGGACCAGGGCAGAGCGCATAACCCAGGATCCCAGGGAAGAGACTGAGGTCCCAGGAGAACGGAGCTACCGCCATTGTCCCCCCCGCCATACAACGTCACAATCTAGCAACTGGGGTGCCCAGCCCAGGTGAACACCTAAGGCTCCGCCCCTCACTGTAACAGGAGCAACCAGACCAAAAAAAGAAAGAGAAAGAGAGAGAGAGACAGGTCTCCAACAGAAGAACAGATTAATGCCCCAGGACTCATCCTTTTGAGCGACTAAGAGATAGCCAATCTATCAGATGCACAGTTCAAAACACTGGTGATCAGGAAGCTCACAGAATTAATTGATTTTGGGCGCAAATTAGATGAAAAAACGCAGGTTACCATAAAAGAGATGAAGGAAGATGCATAGACAACCAATAGTGATGGGAAGGAAATCGGGACTCAAAACAATAGAATGGACCAGAAGGAAGAAAAAAGCAACCAAACAGGAAAGAATGGAGAAATAAGAATTCAAAAAAATGAGGAGAAGCTTAGGAACCTCCAGGACATCTTTAAACATTCCAACATCCGAATTATAGGGGTACCAGAAGGGGAAGAGGAAAATCAACAGACTGAACATGTATTTGAACAAATAATAAAGGAGAACTTCCCCATTCTGGCAAAGGAAATAGACTTCCAGGAAGTCCAGGAAGCTCAGAGAGTCCCAAAGAAGTTGGACCCAAGGAGGAACACACCAAGGCACATCATAATTACATTAGCCAAGGTAAAAATGAAGGAGAGAATCCTAGAAGCAGCAAGAGATAAGGACACAGTTACCTACAAAGGAGTTCCCATTAGACTGTCAGCTGATTTCTCAAAAGAGACCTTGCAGGCAAGAAGGGGCTGGAAAGAAGTATTCCAAGTCATGAAAGGCAAGGACCTACATCCAAGATTGCTCTATCCAGGAAAGCTTTCATTTAGAATGGAAGGGCAGATAAAGTGCTTCTCAGATAAGGTCAAGTTAAAGGAGTTCATCATCACCAAGCCCTTATTTTATGAAATGTTAAAGGGACTTATCTAAGAAAAGAAGATTAAAAAAAACATGTATAGTAAAAGGACAGCAAACTCACAATTATTAACAACCACACCTAAAGCAAAACCAAAAGAAACTAAGCAAACAACTAGAACAGGAACAGAACCACAGAAATGGAGATCACATGGAAGGTTAGCAACAGGGGAGTGGGAGGAGGAGAGAGGGGGAAAGGTACAGAGAATAAGTAGCATAGATTGTAGGTTGAAAATAGATAGGGGGATGGTAAGAATAGTATGGGAAATGTAGAAGCTAAAGGACTTATAAGTATGACACATGGACATGACTAAAGGGGGGATATGGGTGGGAGAGGGTGTATAGGGTGAAGGCGAGTGAAGGGGGAAAATGGGACAACTGTAATAGCATAATCAATAAAATATGTTTTTAAAAAAAGAAAATATTTTCTCCCAGTCTGTGACTTCTCTTTTCATTCATTTGACATCATCTTTTTCAAAGCATAATCTTTAATTAAGTTCAGGTTGTAAAATATTTCTTTCACAGGTGATGCTTTTGATATTACATCTAAAAAGTCAGTGTAATACCTAAAGTCATTTAGGTTTTTTTCCTGTTATCTTGTAGGAGTTATATAGTTTTATGGTTTATATTTAGGTCATAGATTCATTTTGAATTAATTTTTCTGGAGTTGTAAAGTCTGTCTACATTCATTTTTTTTTTAATTTCTCGTTTCAGCATAATATGCTGAAAGACTATCTTTTCTTCATTGTGTTGCCTTTGGTCCTTTGTGAAAGATCATAAACACAGGGAACAAACTGATGGTTGCCAGAGGGGTGTCGGGTTGGGGATGTGGGTGAAAAACATGAAGGGATTAAGAATTATAAATTGGCAGTTACAAAACAGTCATAGGGATGTAAAGTATAATATAGAGAATATAGTCAATAATATTATAATAACTGTGTATGGTGCCAGGTAGGTACTTGAAATATCAGGGGGAACACTTTGTAAAGTATATGACTGTCTAGGTGCTGTGCTGTACACCTGAAAATAATATGAATAATATTGAATATAAACCTTAATTTAAAAATTTTAAAACATAAAATATGAAACAATGGAAAAAAAGAATTTTTTAAAGAAATTTTCAGCTATTATTTCTTTTTTAAAAGATATTTATTTATTTATTATTTATTTATTTATTTTTAGAGAGGGGAAGGGAGGAAGAGAGAGACATCAATGTGTGGTTGCCTCTCACATGGCCCCACTGGCCTGTAACCCAGGCATGTTCCATGACTGGGAATTAAACCTGTGATGCTTAGAATTTTTAACAAAAAGTATTAGTGATGGAACAATTGCCTTGTCAAATATCAGAACATAATATTATCTATTTTTGTTAACTAAATATTATCACAAAATGTAATTTGTTTTCTTGCTATTGAGTTTTAAGACAGGGTTTTTTTTATATATATATTTTGGATAACAGTCTCCTATCAGATGTGTCTTCTGCAAGTGCTTTCTCCTAGTCTGTGGCTTATCTTCTATTTCTCTTAATATTGTCTTTTACAGACCAGAAGTTTTAGTTTTAATGAAGCCTATCTTATCAATCATTTCTTTAACGTGTGTTGTCTATTATGTTGTATCTAAAAAGTCATCACCCAAGGTCGTGTATATTTTCTGCTGTTCTATTTGAGGAGTTTCATAGTTTTGTATTTTGTAGTTAGGTCTATGATCTATTTTGAGTTAACTTTTATGAAAAGTGTAAGGCCTGTGTCTAGATTTATTTTGTGTTTGTGGTTGTCCAGTTGTTTTAGCATCATTTGCTGAAGAGACAATCTTTGCTCCATTGTATTGCCTTTGGCCCTTTGTCCAAGATAAGTTAACTATATTGTCTCTGTCTATTTCTGAG